GGTGTATACAGAGTATAACAATTTTAATACAGTTTTCCTTTCTTAAAATGTGTATCCATTTTTTGGCACCCTCTGTATATACATACTTTTGTCCAGAAATTCTACTTCTGATAATTTACCCTGAGGAAAATATCAAGAGTGTACATCCAGTTTTAACTCAGCATGCTTTACTGTAGCAGCCTTTGTCAAAGAAAAGTGTCCACAGACCAAATATCAACAATAGTAGATGAGTAAAGTAGATTATAATTCTCACAAGAAATAAAATACGAAGTTGACAACGGTATTGTGGAAGAATGTTTGTAACTATGGGAAGTCATTCATGCCATATTTCTAAGTAAAAATAGAGTAGGCGTCGCTGTGTGTAATTATAATTAGATTTCTATTTTAAAAACTCTGTCCTAGAAACAAGGTTACAGAGACCACATCAAAATATTACTAACAGCTCTATCTCTAGCTAATTTTGCCAGGAGGGTGTCAACTTAGTGAAAATTTTGTAACAAATACATTACTTTCGTAAACAGATAAAATGTAGTTAAAGTTTAAAACAAACAAACTAGGCCTTACACTTTGCATTTCCTCAGCCATTAGTTCGTAAAAGCATTCTTTGATCTGCATTGGACTTCCCCCAGTGATAGGATGTAGGAGTGACATTTCTAAAACATTTTGTACCTTCTGTTGGGTGTTGACACTCAAGGGTGAAGAGCCTCTTGGTTTCCCTTTGTTCGTAGCCTGTTGGCCCTGGAAAGTACGTGTTTGACATTGGATGCGAGCAGCACGGGGAGTACCGTCTCACAGACGTGGTAAGTGGCGGAAGATAGATGGTTTCCTACACTTGTGGGCGGAAGAGTCACTCAGTGACGTGGATCCCAGGGATCGACAAGGTGAGAAGTTATGCCAGCTCTTGGGGACTTCCTCTTGGGGACGTCCACGTTTCCGTTTTCCTTCTTCACTTGCATGTGCTAGTCCGGAACTCAATTGCCAGGATTAAACCATGTTACTTTATAGTTATTGTTGAAGCCTAGACTGAGTTTTTGTCCAGAGGAACCAGCTAATCCTGAGCTGGAGGGCTCTGGACAGCCAGGTCCAGAAATGACCCCTTAAATCTGTCACCATTCTGACACCAAACTCATTGAATAACTCAGTGTTTCAGGTGTCTGGCTTGCACCTCTTATAATTTCTCTCTTTTTTTCCTTTACAATACTTAACATTGATATGAATACTAAATTGATATCCCTGGTTAATGTTAAAATTAGCCAGTTAATGTTGTCATTAGGCATTCAAATGTGTGTGTGTGTGTGTGTGTTGCGGGAGGGACGTCTATATCTGTATTCCTGTCATTATTGTCTGACCAAAGCCTGTAGATCATTGGCAATTTAGTAAAATATCTTGGCCCCCTCAGCACTCCCCACACCCCCCAGAACATCTCCCCCCAGGACACCACCCCAGGGCACCCCATTGCCCTGGCAGGCCCTGGGCCCCCCTGTTTTCCTGTGGTGTTCCACTTCCTTCCTGTCCCTTGGCCACAGTCACTACTCCTCAGAATAGCCGGTGGTTCCCCACGGCCTTTGAAGAAATGTCCACCCTCTGTGACCAGGCTCCCGTGGGCTCACATGACCTGTCCCCTTGGCCTCTCCCCTGCTTTACTTCACAGCCCCTTTGCTCCCCTGACATGAATCGTGGCAGGTCGTCCTCCTAGTCAACGATAGAATATGAAATGGCCAAAATACTTTATTTTGTTGCTAAAAATAAGGCCCCCCATCCCACCCCTGGGCACTGTCTCTTCCTGAATCCCAGGGTGTGTGGTCTAAATGTGAGGAGGGTTCCCAAAAATCATGTGGGACGTGTCATCCTCCCATGGGTTCTGCAGCTCAGCGCGCGCGCGCGTGTGTGTGTGTGTGTGTGTGTAACCGCCTGCACACGTAGTCAAGAACTTTACACATGCGGCCAGCTTTGTTGTNGCCTGTCTCTCTGCACCTCGGCAAAGTCCTGTCTCCCAGCCGTGCGTGGCCCGTCACCTCCTTTTAACACCGGGCGCTTTGACCCCCGTTGTGTGTGCTCCTCTTTGTGGGTGAGTCACACCTGAGATCCTTATTGGTGAGGAAAGGCAGGCGGGGTTGGACTTTCCTTCCCCTGGGGCGCCAGGCCGGAGCCAGGAAGGCCACACACGGGCCTCCTGGCGGAGGGGTCAGGGGTATTTGTCAGCCTGGGAGATGGGTGGAGGGAAAGCGAATTTGACACAAGTTAACCTGGAGGAATCCATGAAAGTGGAGAGCCCAGACTAATATGAAAAATGAGAGCCCAAGTGGAGGCTTTGTTCTGCTATTGTAAAAACTTGAAAGTTATACTAATAATTCGCAAGTACATTCCAGCTGTAGACGCTCGGATCCCCCCACCCCGAGCTCCAGCCCCCCTCTGGCTGCAGTGTGCCCTCCCTCCCACGGGCTTCCTGGGCGCCAGTGGGCACGTGCTCACACACAGCTTATCCAGAGTTATAGTGTGAGGGGTTTAACTACGGAAATAGGGTCACACTACACCAGGACACAAAAACACACACACACACACACAGACGTCTTCCATCCTTCTGCAAGTTTGGGGACATTTATGTAGATTGGATACCGGAATTGCTGAATCATGGTTGATACTGCCAATTGTCCTAAATGCTATGCCGGTTTATACACCCTAGCTAACAGAATATCAGAGCCTCTTTTCACACGCTCTCACCAGCCCTAGATATTATCAGTCTTGAACACTTTTTGCAAATCTGACGGGTAAAAATTGTTATGTCATTGTTTTAATATTCACTTCCCTGATCCCTGGTGAGGTTCACCATCTTTACACACTTTTACTGAGTGTTTGACTTTCTTACATCCTTGCCGACAAGTTATTGAAACATACTTGAAAGCGGCAATCATTAAAACCATGTCATACCAGAATAGAGATATACAGATCAGTGGAACAGAATGCCTAGAGGCAGGTAGAAGTGTATGTAATAATCTAGCACACAATGAGGATGTCATTTCAAACTAATGAGTAAACGATGGGAAGAAGTCAAGAAATGGTACAGGGGCAACTTGGTACCCATTTGGGAGAAAAATAAAATCAGAATTTGCCCTCCAGCATATAGATGAAGATACTTTCTAGAAGAAATAAAGATTTGAATGCAAACAAGAAAAATCTCAGATAGAAAAATAGGGGAATATTTATTAACTTTGAGGAAAGAAACTTTTAAACAGGACTATAAAGGAAAAACCAGGAGGTTTTTGCTTGATGAAAATAATCTCTGACAGATTAGAAAACACTATAAAGAAAATTTAAGACATACATGACAAATGGAGTTAGGACATATGCAACGTTTAATATATGAAGCACTTACATCAA